TTGCGCCTGTACCTACAAAACAACGGAGACTCCTTGTGGTGGGAGTTCCGCCTCCGACAATCAAGTTAGTACTTGCTTGAGGAGTGAATAGTGCGGAAATGTAAAGGTTGGGCGATCTGGTCCCTCAAGGTGAGGAGTGATCAGTGTGTTTAGATTATATAGGTGAGTGTAATTAATTGCTTAACCCCCTCTAATGAGAATTAATTAGTGTATTTATAGCCTTGGGAAGCGTTCCTAATTCTAGGGTTTTTGGTAAACCCTAGGGCTGACTGGGCTTCCCCCGGGAAGTGGACCTTGGTGGCCTCCTTCCAGGCTGGCGGTCAGTAGGCCACTTGGCATGGCTTGACTGGTCCATGGTGGACAAATAGCTGTGTGACACGTGGCAGGCCCTAAGAGGTCCAAATGGAAGACAATTGGCAGGACCTGATTAGTCCACGTGGCGCATTCTAATTGGGCGAGAAAAATCCCCTAATCAACAGTTATTCCAACATTTTATCGTGTCAAAAGAGGGATCAAATTTAACTAGTTCTCCTATATGGTATACATTATATCTTTTTGAAAATGACATTATTATATCTAACAAGGACAATGTCAAATAGCATCCATCTATCATAGACACATAGCCATGCAATTGAGAAACACAGTATAGGTGTATAACTATCACCCAACAAAATTGCAATTTGCAAGATAGAAGAAATGGTGCACAAACGACCCATGTGAATTTATGAAGAGACAATTTAAGGTCCTTACCCTAGATGTGATATTTGCTTTTATAATGCCGGTTGTCCTACTTAATTAGCTACAATTATGGATCATATAAGTTAAAAATTAAGCTTGTAATTTTGATAATTAATATATAATCCAATGCCACGTCTAATATTGCATGAAGGTTTGCCTCAAATGGGAAATTAATTGAAAAGAGTCCAGAAATTGTGACTGATTTGGACCTTAATCTCGTGGTAATGCTAAGATTATTGGCCTAATGTTGTTATAGGTTGTAAGATTTGCTTCCTAGAACACAACATCACTTGACAACCCCCATAATTTTTGAGGTCCACCCGAGAGAAAATTAGATCCTTGACAATTTATTATTAGGAACATATTGTTTGAGAGACTCGTAACTATATATTAATCATGCATGTGGGGTTTATATATACGGCATCGATTGAAAAGTCCTTGGATAAATTAGTAAATAGTACGGAGTAGTATCTAATTCAAATCCTGATAATGTAACAATATTTGTTAGGAAAACTAGCCTTCTCATCACCAAATCATTTTTAAAAGATGGCTGATCTTAAAATATTAATTAATGTAGTACATATTAGAGACCGTAGAAAAAAAAAAAATAATAAATAAAATACTCCCTCTACATTTGAAAAATTCAACTCACCAATAAGGTCTGGTTCACTTCACCTTAAAAAAATAATATTAAGTAAAAATAATTTCAATTCAGTAAAAATAATTTCAGTTTAGCAAAAATAAGTTCTATTCAATAAAATTCAATAACATTAAAGAAGAAATATAATAGAAAATCAATAAAAATAATTTCAGTTCAGCAAAAATAATTTCAGTTCAATAAAATTAATTTCAGTTCAGTAAAAATAATTTAAGTTCAGCAAAAATAATTTCAGTTTAGTAAAATAATTTCAGTTTAGCAAAAATAAGGTGAAGTGAACGGGGTTTAACTATTCATGTTGTCAAAGTAAAATAAATTTGATTATATATATATATATATATATATATATATATATATATATATATATATATATATATATATATATGCATGTAATTTTGTCAGCTCAGATTTTTCTAAATAATGTAAATTTTAAAAAAATATAACTTTCATCTATACATTGTTTAGATATTTAAGGTCATGCAAATTGAAGATCACACAAAAATAAGTGAGTCAAACTTTTTGAACCAAAGGGAATTAAAGATAGTATTTATGAATTTTAATTTGAAATTGAAAGATTTAATAAATGTGATTCATGCAACCACATATCAAGAAAAAAATGAAAAAAAGTGTCCGATTGCCTTGTAAATTCTGATTCGATTTACAAAAAAGGTGACATGTATGCATGTTTGATTGTGTTTGCCGTGAAAATTACATGGCGGTGTCCCAACTTGTTGCATAAATGAACACACAAATATAATCCATGTTGATAGATGTCATATATGGACGTATAATGTGGGTTACACTACATATATACTTACAAATTAATACGATTCTACGGATATTTTAGTTACACCCAAATACCTTATCATACCCTTCTTCCTCCCTCTATATATATGAACTGTCTAAGCTAACACCATACTAATTAATTAAGCTAAGTAATTAATCAACGCAATACCATACTTAACCCTAGCTAACCAACCATATATGATATATCCCACCAATATCAAGAGCAAACTCATAAGATGGCCGTGTCAACATGCAAGCTTTTCGTTCTCGTCGTGCTCGTCTTCCTTTGCCTCATTTCTGCTCCTCTTATAGGTATATATAAATATGTAACCTTTTGTTGATATAATTTATTCACTGAATCATCTTATTTGCATCTATTTTGATACTTAATTGATTTTTATATCCTTTTTTTTTTTTTTTTGACAAATTTTTCTTGTTTTGATTGTATACATATAGATGCAAGTAGGAATGTGCCAATGAAAAATGAAGGAACAACGACTCCAAATATGAACAAGAACATTAACAATGATGATGTTATTCCAAGTACGACGTCTGTTCACGTTGATCATAACGTAGAAGTATATAATGAAGGTGATCTAACGATGATGGATTACACCCCCGTCAAAGGGAAGTCTCCAATTCACCATTGATATACATTTATAGATCAGATATACTATAAATTACAAGCAAGTTAATTACATGCATGTAACATGATAATTACTTAGCTTGCTTGTTTAATTAGTAAAAATTATGATGAGATGATGATTATCTCCGGTCTAGCAGACTGAGTACTTCAGTACTTTTGCTATATATATACACTTGTATAAGTCGTTTGTTCCTCTATTAGATGAAAGAATATACGAAGTATAAAGGTATGTACGTGTATCGGATGTGGAACTCATTATATTATCTTGAGTACCTTAAGAGTAATATAATGCCTAAAGAGTTATTAATATTGAAGGTAATTTAATATGGAATATGGAATTATATATTCCATTGTAGTTAAGACGTTTAGTAATTTAAGGGGGGGGGGGGGGGAGGGCCTTATTTAGCAATTGACTTTTGCATATTGATCTGTTTTTGGTACAATTGTTTTACCTTTTACTTTCACTAATTAGTTTGTAACCGATGTCTATGTGTTGGGTTTTATTGATTATCGGTTTGTTTATTGTTTCTCCGTTATTTTTACGTGTAATATTTTGACCTTTTCACTTGTCGGTGTATATATAAATTGATCAATCATTAATATGAGTAATTATTATTGAGTTATCATTAAAAGTTGATATTAGATGAGATTTGACAAGATTCCACAATAAATGACTATATCGATCTTAATATTACGTATAAAATAAATCACTAAGGATAATTTTAATGGAATGCATATGGGGATAATGTCAAAATCAAAATATTGTGAGTAAAAATGCGAAGTAATTATTTACTGATTAAATAAGAAAAAAGATATATATAAATTAAGAAACATGAAAATATAAATATAAAATTGTTAAGAAACAAAAATAAAATTTTGTCATCACTTCCAAAATAGGTTTCGTGATTTTCTTTTTGTTTTAATTTGATGAGTACATACTATGTTAGTTCCGTGCACATACGATAATTTTCAATATTTATTACTCCCTATTAACCTATTACTATATTGTTTTTATACTTGTCTAAAATACTGTGCACAAAATTGACCAAAACAATAGAATTAGCATCTTCAGGTTTCAGCTCAAAAGAGTTGTACTCGAAAAATTCTCAAACTTGGAGCTTTTTAAATTAACTTATTGAACATGTAGGTTTTTAGGTATTGCATACATTTTTTTTTTTGACAATATTAAAAAGGATTTCATTAAAGAAAGATAAATTTCGAGGAAAATTAGAATTCCAACATAAGTACAAATCACCTATATTAAAGCAACTACTTCGTATCAATTGGTATCAATTTATCAAACACTTTTACATAATCAGCTATTTACAACTAGCTAGTCAAACCAACTAATACAACCAACTAGTCAAATCAGTTCATATAATCAACTACCATTTAGTTACCAAACAAAGTTAACATAATCCGTTATATCAATCAGCTACCGACTAATTATAAAAAAAGACGAATAAGTAATCGTTTAAAGCTACTCCATATTTGTCAAATAGAGCCATAAGGTTTGTTTCTTCGGGATTTTCACCATATACCACTGAGTTTTAACTTAATTCACCATATACCACCAAAAACTTTCTAATACACCATGTACCACTGAGTTTAACATAAATGTCACAACATGCCCTTATTGACTAACGCCGTTAACTCCGTTAGTAATTAAGGTTAATTGTGCCACGTGGCTGTCACTTATTGGCTCTTATTAATATTATTTAATTAATTACTTAAATAAAGAATTAAAAAACTTTTAAAAAATTAAATAAATAAAACCACCACCAACCTATCCACCGCTACCCCCCAGCCCAACCCTGGCCAACGCCTAGGTGGTCGACGTCCATCACCCTTCCCCCATCGGCGACAACCCCCGCCCCCAACCCTCTCCTTTCCTCCCTAATCCTTTCCACAACCCCACCACCAGTTTACCTCCCAACCACCCTTTCACCTACCAGCAGCGCCTTCCCCACCCCGTCGACCGGCCATACTGGCGCTCCATCGCCGGCCGACCCACCCCTATCTTTAATCCTTACCTCGACCCTCTCCCTTCCCCCATCGTGCCACCAGTCAAGCCCTATTCCACGAAATCACTCCCTAGCTCCAACAAAAAACCCAATTTTTTGTACTTTTCACTCCTCCAACCTGGTCGATTCTTCTCGTGGGTGGGTTTTGGTGTGGTTGAAAGGGGTTGTAGGTAGATTTTCGGGAGTGGTGGTTGGTTTTAGAGGTTGTGGGTGGTTTTCAATTGTTGTGGTGGGGGTTGTGGATGGATTTTCGAGAGTGGTGGTGGTTTTCAAGGGTCGTGGCTAGGATGAGGGGCAGCGCCGGCGCAGGGGAAGGGGAGTTTGGGCGCCGACGGCAGGGTGGAAGGCAAGCTGGGGGCGGTGTGGGGGGTGGGGAGGATGGCTGACTGGCTGGGCTTAGGGTGGTGGGATATTTTTTTTTATTAGTTTTTTTAAATATTTTTTTAATTAATTAATTTAAATAAGAATCACTCAAATGCTGGCACATGTCATAGTTAACGTTAATAACTAACAGAACAAATAGAAAATGGCATGCTGTGACACTTATGTTAAACTTAGTGGTACATGGTGTATTAGAAAATTTTTGGTGATATATAGTGAATTAAGTTAAAACTTAATGGTATATGGTGAAAAATCCGTTGTTTCTTCGTTTAAAATTTGACTAAAATAGAGTTCTAAATTTTAAGCTTGGCGCTAAATCACAGAAATCTTTCAAAACCCCTCCAAAAAATTTGAAAAAAAAAAAAAAAAAAATCTACAATTTCTTTCATTATAGTACCATTTAACAATTAGTATGAATAAATTCTCAGCAAAATTTGCATTGAATCAATAAGATACATCTACAAATGATATCAAAAAGTTCTACTCCAATTAGAGCACCTGGGCAACGTTCAATTCTTTCCACCTTCAGTCATCGATCTGCTCAACCACGGTAATTGAACAAATTTCAATTAATTCAATACTTTTGTTGCTGATTTGGGTATTTTTTGAAGAACCCTAATTTCATTACAGCTCTACCAATCATTCAGATGGGTCAGGTGTACTTTCAAACAAGAACAAACGTGGTTCCAATCTCTCTTTTACTGATTTCCTGAATCGCAAGTTACATACTACTTCTGTGCTTCCTTTTGATAAGGTAATTTTAGCCAATTTCAATTTTTATTTTCTTCAATTATTTTATTTTTTAATTTGTGGGCAATTATTTGTTTTTTTAACTACTAAAACCCTAGAGATTTTTCTTATTTTGGAACTTATTTTGGGAAATGTTAGAGTAGAGTGGTGTTTTGAATTTGCAAGATTGTAAAATGGAATATAAAAGAAGAGAAGGTTTTGGTATTCATTTCGGAATACCTCGGTTTTGATTTAGTTGTCATATTGATGTTTCAAATAATTCTATAATGTGACAATTAATTTAGGACAGCAGGAGTATGTACGGGCTATAAGCCTATAATTCAACTTCTTATTGGTTAATTAGATGGTTTGATTATGTACTTAGTATTTGTTTGCTAGTTCATTTATAATTTGTATCCTTTTATGGTGATAATATGGTTTAGAGAGAAACTGTTCAGTCAAGGGTATAAGGATGAGACGATTTTGGAAAAGTACTGTCTTTCTTAGTAGTGGGCTAGAAGGTTGCAAGAGAGAACATGTTAGCTACCCTCGAGCATTTGTAAAGGAAACATGTTCCGATGCTAAGGTAAATTATAAGAACGATAAGGATAGATGTACCATAGATATGGATGTCAAAAAGTATATGAACAAGTATCTGGAGGAGGTTTTCTTGACAACAGGTGATACTGGGATCCTTAATGTCTAAATTCACCTTTCTTTAAGGTACGGGTTAGATACTAAGTAGTATGAGGGTCGTCAAGCCCCCATTTAAGAATCCATACAGAAACTATTATTTTTGAACAAGTGTAACTGTTTTTATATTTGTATAGATGGAGCAAAAATTGCATAAAAGTTTTAAGTTTTTCTCCTTATGCAAATAGATGAACATTGAACTGGATTTATGTCTTTTCATGGTTGGATATGAGTTCCTCTCACAATTTCACCCAATATGGAGTATTATGGCTGTTGTCAACTATTCTTTTCTAGAATTTGTTCAGCTATTAGAGGATTTTTACTGCATATTCACTGATGTAATTAAGGATGACAAAACATTCTCCATGATCAAGAAGGAGAGTGTTCCTTTGGCAGCGAACCGAAATCCCAGAAGCGAATCCATTTTAAGAGATTGTGGGGGACCTCGTGATGAAAAGGGGCATGTGATTGAAGATTCTATGTTTAAGCTGTTCAATGATTCAGGAGGGAAAGTCAGAAAGAGGTCCTCTGAATGCATAACTGGTTAGTGTAAGCTTTTGATGCAGTCTCAAAGTTATGGTATACATTTGTTTTTGTACATTGAATTGTCAAATGCGGATTGCATAACAACTTATTCAACCATTACTTAATGTACGCAAAATTGCCTTCAAGCTTATCCCGGTTCTTCATGTTTATGTTAGGAAAATGCCTTCTGTTTTCATGTTTAATAATTAGTCGTCTAGCAAATATGTGTACATGAGTGTGATAGTAAATTTGCAGATTTACAAGGTGTAGCAACACAGAGGGTATACAGTTTGCTTCAGATTTTCTGATCTGCAGCTAAAATCTCCATAATGTTAATAAGGATGCACAACAATGCTCTTGAAAATTAGAAGGTAATAAAATGAGTAGAGGGCCTACGCAGACTTAGCCACTTAGGTTCTGTTTTCCTCAACTTTTTAAAAAACTTCAGTAAAATTAAGTTAATAAAAATTCCCTATAAAAAAGGTAAAAGCTTAGCATATATAAGAAAAGTTTAGCAAATAATTAGTCTAATAAGCGAAAGTTCAGGAAAAATATGAAGTGAATTTTTTCAGCAAAAATAACTTAGGTTCAACAAAAATAAGAAAGGAGAAAAAAAAAACAAAAAAAAAAACAATGGTCTACTTTGCCTTGTCACACAAACTTCTTGCCACCATCTGAAATTGGTTCTTCTACTTTCAGAAGTATATTTAATGTTGTACATCAGTTCATAGCTCTAACATAGCATCTTTTCTTATCTTTAGAGCTATGAACCTTGCTGTATTATAAATTTTTAAGTAAGTCTAAATGGGCATTACATCATGCGTAAACCATACACAACTTGGTTGTACAAATCACAGCTAATTGGATTTACAAGATTATCAACATTAGTAGTTTACCCTAAACTATGTGAACAATGTTTTCCTCCCTTCTAATTTAATACAAAGTATTTTTCAGATGTTTAATTCAAAATTCCTTTATCTGCTTCATTGTTAATCCGTTTTATTGAGTCGCTTATTTCATTTGGAAACTACAAATATAATATTGTGCATTTCTTCCTTTATAACCTTAGACACATGCTCCACACTTCTCACTGTTCATTTAGACATGAAAAATAGGACTTCACTTCAACCAACTATGTAACAGGTTTTATTTTTTGGTATTGGATATCAAGGTCAATGGTGTGGTAACTATGTGCCCATAAAGATCTCTCCTAGAAATATAATTTGATTTTGTAGATATCGTCAAGCCTAAAGATAGATCTATTACTGTATCAAAAGTCCCACAATCTAACCATTTAAAGTTGTTTAAGGTCAAGGAACTAGAAGATACGTATGAGGCAAGCTTGTAGAAACTGAACATTTTATTGGTAACACGATTATTGATGTTGCCACTGCCTGAAAATTACTTTTAACAGTGAGGGAAGCTGAAAGCCATAGCTTTTGACTATCATTTCTTCCCTGTATATAATTGGTCGATAAATTTATGCTTCCTGTCACTCTGAGATCCTACAAGTTTCTCTGTATTGCTTTTCATTCTGGCTGTATTTTTAGCGATCTATGCCTTAATTTCTATGTCATATACAAGATAGTCTTAATCCAGCTCATTAGTATGGTTTTAATAAATGAATCAAACACTGCTGAAGCTTTCGTTTTGAGGTTTATATATTTGAACTGCAGCAGACCCATCACGATCGGATGGTGTTTCAAAGCATCATAGTCAAAATCATTTGTTAGTCCTAGGAGATGACCCAAAGCCCAAGAGAAGAGCCCTTGGAAGAAATACATGTAGCAATAAGAAACAAAGGCCTCTTTATAACCATTGTAAGTGCCATGTTATTCCAACCTATTGCTGCTACTGTCCATTATTGATGTTTGAGATTTACTTTTATGAATGCTCTGTTTGTCAATGTGGCTTATATTTTGGTCTGGCAGATGAAAATGGAACTGGTTTCTGGGAACCTGAGAGAGAAGGTATCGACAGTGCTGAAGTTGGGAGCACGGAAATGTGGGAAGGCATGGGTTCAACAACCACACTAGGAGGACTAGATGAATTAAGCACTTTTGACCACCTTTAACTATTAACCACTGCTTCTGAACTACCTTGGTATGATTAAGCAATCTGACTTGTCTGTAAATGAGAACTCATGCCAAATTCTACTTAATGTTGAATCTCTAAGCAAGTTTGTACTATATGTGTAGATACTAATATCCTAATATTTGTGATCCTTGTTTTTGGGCGTGCTAATACTAATGTTGATGAAACATATATCTTTCATAACAATTGACAATGGGCGAGATCAAAGGATTTTTAGGAAATCAATGGACGACTGATCATAGAACCAACTGGTGTTTTCAATATCTTATGAACCATGTAACAGATTTGATCATTTGATGCCATAAGTTGGCTTTAAGGTATGATTTAAATATCATAGATAGGTTCGGAATATTGGAGTTTCTCCACCCTTGTACTTCGAATAACGCTTGTCTCGTTTCTCAAAGTTCGCTTTGGAATAATTTAGTCACAGTGTCTGTATTATATAAAATTAAACTAGAAATATTCTTGAATGATACGTGAATAGACATTGTAAAAGCATTTATTAATAAGAATAAAATATGAAAAATGCTTGTTTTGAATGGTAAAAAAGACATGCTTTGCTAAATGGGGAAAGGCATCATGACTTGTGGCTTTGCTTTTAGCCCAAATGCCTAATCCATTCACCTAGGCCTATAAAAGTTTAACCCCAACTATATTATGCAAAAACTATTATTGTGATATCATGCCTAAAATCTACTAAGAAACTATTGTCAACCCCATTATAATTACGTGCACTATTCAAGGGGGTTCTCCAAGGGGCTCATTCTTACGTGCTTTCTTTTCTTTCAAAAGTAATCGAATAATGTTAATCATTTCTGTATCGGTCTAATTTTACAAAATGTTTTAAGAAGACAATGTAACACTTAAGTGTCAAATTTACATAGACGTGACATTTGTCGTGGCTTAGCCTTAAAGCACTAATTTCTTTCTCATACTTGTCAATTTATTATTCTTTTGTATCATTACCTATGCACTCCTTTATTTCTACTAACAGCCCGCTTGATAGGTGATCATAAATGATGGTAATGGGAATGTGTTTGTATGTAAGTTTGTTACACTAATCCAAGTTCATTCCAGCGGTAACACATGCTTGAGGATGAAATTGCAATACCATGGAGATTACAATGTTAATGTTATTTTTAATTTACACTCAAAATTCATTCCCATTACCATTATTTATAACCAGCTACTAAACGGACTTGATCCATTTATGTCCAAGCCTAGATCTTACTTGAAATTAAATGACTTATTTATGACGTGAACTGAAAAAAAAAAACCCAACTATATCATTGTAAATTTGTTATTGATATGAATATGGATATCAAAGTTGTCAGTTGAATATTTTTTCTTGATAAAATAGTTTGACACAATTTATATTCTACACTTGGGGGCATGATGTGCATTATGTTAGCTCTTGATTACTAATTTCTACATTTATGAAGTGATATGTATATTCTTTTAATCACACTTCCATATCATTTCAACTCATTGCACCTACATACTCATTTTATATTTGTGCTCTTTTCATTACACCTACACCCTTTTTTTTTTTTTTTTTTTTGGGGGTAACGTTCTTTTTATACCCAAGTGATGATTATAAGTTAATAAGTCATGCTAGATAAATAACTGAAATATCTCTTTGATGAAGCTCCTACACCTATTCATGTTTATACTCTGGAACCTCTTGTATCGGTATGTAGCATTCCCAGTTGGGAACTTGAACTATTTATAAGTGATCTCTTGATTTTTGAAGGTCTTCTATCCTTCACACTTCTCTTGTTTTTGCTCCTGTATTGAAAAATGGAAGGTGTTGTATTTTATTAGTGTGGAACAATAGTCAACTAAATTATAAAACGAAGCAATAAAAAAGATAATCAAACGACTTTATGTGCTTTGGTTAATTAGACCTACACCATTGGTGGGGAATTCAAGAGTTTCTGCCACTATAATGGAGATTTAAACAAGAGGGATATACAAGGATTCATAATGCCTTAACGCTTAAAGGTGCAAATCTAAACGATCTCCCAACGACGTATGATTTTATGAGAGGGATAGTGTTGTGTCTTTTTTATTACTTGTGAATCAATTCAAAATAATTCAGGTTAGACTAGGCACGATCTTATTATCTTGTGTATTTTTTTGTGTTTGGAATTAGCAGTTCCTTTGTTCCAATCTTATGTGCATCATTAGAGCATATATCTTTATATAGAGTTTTGAAGTGTGATTATCAATTGTTAAGAAGAGTAGACTTGATGAGAGATGGTGTGACTATCAATTGAATAAAATCATTTTGTTGGAACCCTAACTTTTAGTATTGGAAAAGATTATGATTATTTAAAAAGTACAAAATGGCTCCTTGCTAATTATAGAAAGAGGCGAACTAAACTAGTTCAAACAAAAGTGAATTGCTAAATATCGCCAACAATATCACTAAAAAACAAAATAAAAAAAAAAATAAATAAAACTAGGCACACTAAGATACTTGATAGGATGGAGAGAGTGAGTAATGATAAAAAAAAGTACTCTGCAAAGGCCGGCCCTGAGGGTAGGCCTCGAGTGCGACCGCCCAGGGCACACGCCAGAAAGGGGCCCAAAATTTTTTTTTTAAAAAAAAAAATAAGTTTGCATACTAGTAGAAAGCTATTCCATACTTTTTACATGTTTAAGAAAAAAAAACTACTCCTTTTTAAAAAGATAATTACTGCATTTATTTTGCAATTCACATAAAATTACTTAGGGTTCGTTTGGCGTCACTGTGGTTTTCTGTTTTTTTAAAATTATATGATATTTATCATATAATGAAAAAAAAATTAGTCATTAAAATCATGATAATTTTAAAAATTGATAACAAAAAAGTGGAAACACTTTTTTTGTTTCCTGTTTTTGGTTTTTAGTTTTTAAAAAAACAGAAAACTGAAAACAAAAAACGATGCCAAACAAGCTATTAATTAGGTGGAGAATACAATGCAATATAACCTCTTCACTTCTTCTAATCTTCCGGTTTCTATGAGTATGTGCTCTAGAATATTAATTTTTCCAATTACACCGTTTCATATTTATTCAATTACCGAAATTCAAGCCTTTTAATTTTAGCTAATTAATATTATGGCAAGGATTAAGATATTAAACAAAATAAATAGCAACAAAAATAATTCATCTATCACCAAATATTTGAAATATTTTATACACATCCGGGTGTACCGTGCACCCAACTAGTCCAAAGTTAGTTTTTGCTCTTTATTTGATGATTAAACGAACAACAATCATCAAAACGAGAACAAAATGCTCATGGGTGTACCATGTGTCTGGGTGTATATAACAATCTCTCCCAAATGTTCAACTCCCATATTCTTATTGTTGGTTGTTTACGATGAATTTCACGGCATCGTCGACAACTTGATCTTTTTCTTTAGTTGCCGATTAGACAAAGGTAATACAATTACACAATTCTTCCTCTGTTTTTTAATACTCCGTATTATGCAAAGTTATTAATGTGTACTGAGACTTACTATTTAAATAATATAAATTATTTTTATTGTCTTTTATTTAAATCTATTGGGTATAAAAAAAATTTGTTTATGTAAGGGGCCCTTTTCTTATATTATGCCTAGGGCCCATAAATTTTCAGAAACAGGGCTATACTCTGTGTTAAAATTATTTATTTAAATAATACACATTGATGTGAGTTTAACATGATCTCTCTTAACTTATAACTTGTTTCTCATATACTTGCGTACGGATGCGTTTAGTCAAATATTATTTGACCAAATCATACCAAACAACAAAAATTTAGATCAACGCATACTAAACATTAAAATTCTAGACCAAAACACCTTATTTCATAACACGAGTTAGCTGGATGTATCTATATATATATATATATATATATATATATATATATATATATATATATATATATATATATATATATATATATATATATATATATATATATATATATATATTAGTGTATGTGTATGTTGTACAAGTGTGTACCTACATAACAATTAATATGCATACTTTTATTATGCTATGTTGATTGATCAAATTAATGATGAGATATTTATTTAAAAGAAAGAAATTAGATATACATATTATTGAAAATAACTAATTTGTTACGGATTTTCTTTAATTTATTTGTCGTTTTTATTTCCACTCGTTGAAGTCTTAAACTAATCGAAAAGGATAGGAGGTGTATAATCTTAAAGCTAGAATTTTTTATTCTTCAACCCTTCTATATTTATTGTTTATAAGGTCTTGTTTCTTCTTCTACCAATTTTTCTTTCAAGGAGACTTGTTATTCTTGTATGCCAATCAGCCATCTAAATGCATTAACTAAACGATCGACCATCATTAAATCTCTTGTATACGTTTAGCGTTGCGTGTCACTCCAAGTCTGCGAGTAAAAAATAGTCATATTGTCTCAACTTGGTTTTTTTTAACTCCATCTATGATATAATTTTACATAGACTTGTTACTAAAATTTAAAGGAAGCAAGAAAACATGCATGTGTATCAAAAAAACGTGACAACTTTATAATGAATGTTAGACCGGAGTTTATAACATATATATGCGACTATTATTTCCAAGTGTGTTATTTAATTAATGAATACATTAAGGCTGTGCTGTAGTTGTCCTTAGTCCTTGTCTCGCCAGCTTTGCATCTGCACGCTTCTCTACTTTTCTCAGCCAACAAAATAATAAGTGACACTCCCATCATCACACATATAACTACGGGTATATATATAATTATATAACACTATAACTAGTAGTTGTATATTTTTTCCCATTAAACATTCATAAGAGTAACATCTATCTACCTGCCCTTTTTAGACCCTATTTTTTTAAGCTGTTGTGCTCTGCCTTGTTGTGTTCTGCTGAAATCTGATTTGCTCTGCTTTACTATACCCTACTGAAATCTACTCTGCTCTACTTTACTTTGCCCTGCTCTGCCCTGCTTTGCTCTGCTTACAAATAATAATTAATAATAATAATTAATATTTAATAAAAATAATAATTATTATTATTAATATTTAATAATAATAAATAATATTTATAGATAATAATAATTAGTAATTAATAATAATTATTATTTTATAATAATAATAATAATAATAATAATTAATATATAATATTAATTGATGATAATAAATTATATTTAATGATAAT